CGTACAGAGGTCACACAGGGCGGGCCGGCCGCCCGGGGACAGGGGACGGAGGGGCAGGGGACGGGCCCCAGGATCCTGCCTGACCCTCGTGTCTCCTTGAGTCCCACTCAAATGCCCTGCGTGGCCAGAAACGCATTTCAATGTGCAGGTGTGTCGCCACTCGGCCCACTGGCCGAGGCAGGCATTGCTTCCCTTTAAGTCCAAAAGCACCCGACAGCTGGGAGCAGGCGATTCGCACTCGGAATAAAGACGGATAAGGAGGCAGCCCCGGGAGTTGAATCAACCAAAACAGCGCCAGCACCTCCCCGTTTCCAGTTCTAAAGCCCAAGCAGCGTGCATGGAGAGCGACAACTTCACGTCACAGCCGCCAGGGAAGACCCAACCCTCCCCGGTCTCCAGGGCCCGAAGCGGACACCACGCGAGCCCGCAGGCCGGCCCGGGGGGAGGTGGCCTTCCCGACGCCGTCCGTTGGGAAGGAGCCCGGACACCTCCGGGTCCAGGTCCCTGCAGCCGTCTCCTCGGGGACGAGACCACAGCGGGGGGCCCGAGCGTAGGTCAGAGGTAAGAGAAGAGTCTGACCACAGCGCCGGTGCCCAGGGAGCTGCCACAGAGGCAGCTGGCTCACCGGGCGTGCCCCTGCCGGGAGATGAGGCAGCAGCTGGCCAGGGGGCCCGGGGCTCGGGGACCCTCTCCCAGGTCTGTCCACTCTGTGACCTGCCAGCATGGAAGAGGGTTTGGTACCACAGACCCAGTCACGTGTGGACACGGACACACAGACCCAGCGACCAAGACAGAAGCAGATGTTCCAGGAAGGGCCCACGGGTGGGGTCACCCTGGAGAGCATGGCTCCCCGCGTGCTGACCTGGCCGCCGGGGAAAGCCACCTCACAGAGTTCAGGCCCCCTCGCCCGTCCGCCTTCCCACCAGAACTCGGGGGGCACACACCCCAGCACCCCTGGAGGAGGCAGGCAGAGAAGAGAACAAGTTGCTGGGCTCCTGAGAGGCCTCCTCGCTGCTGGGAACCCTCTGAGGCGCTGGGTCGGGGGTGAGGGGGGACTGCCCCCACAGGAACCAGACCTGCCTCCGGGGAGGCCGAGGGAGAGAGGCCAGCAACACCAGGAGGCAGGGGACCGGCTCCGAGCCCAGCACCACGGCCAGACCAAGAATCAGAAATCGACAGCCGTTCTCCACCAGCAGAAACAATGAAATAGAGCGAAGGGGGTGTAGGCAGAAGCTGAACGAGAAACGGACACCAGCCCACAGAGAAAGTGACCGGTTTCACTTAGACTCACAGAGGCAGGGAGCCCCTGGCCCGCTGAGCGAGCGCGACTTCAGGGCACGTCCCTGGGCCCACGGGTCGCGGGAAGGAGGGAGGGGGGACGGGGGGAGGGAGGAACAGCCAAGCCCAGGGCCCACCTCCCCAGGCACGGCCAGAACCACTACAACCACCTGCGTGTCTTTTCCTCAGAGATCAGCCTCTGCTTTCCGTTTCCTACAACTTCTCCGTGAGGTTTGGAAGGGGCTCAGAGTAACCGGCGACGAGAAGCGTCTGCCCCTCTTCTGAAAGGCCTCTGGGGACGAGGTCGCTCCTGCTGTGAACGTTCAGAGCTCACGAGTAACACGTACCGCCATCTGACCCGACGCTCTCCCTGACGGTGCGCGTGCCACTGACTCTTTAAATTGACAGGGAGATCGTAAAGCAGGGCTCCTCAAACTTTTAAAACGGGGCCAGTTCACTGTCCCTCAGACCGTTGGAGGGCCGGACTAAAGTTCAAAGAAAAACTATGAACAAATTCCTATGCACACTGCACAGATCTTATTTTGAAGTAAAAAAACAAAACGGGAACAAATACAATATTTGTATTTGCATGTGGCCCGCGGGCCGTAGTTTGAGGACCCCTGTCGTAAAGCTTTGATTCCTCTTGGTCCCTCCACCAGGCCCTGCCTCTCTCGGAGTACGTCCATTCCATGTGCCTTCTCGAACCCTTTGGCGAAGACTTGGAATACCCCCGCCCCCACCACCGCACCCCCGTTAGCTTTAATGTCTGTGGGTCTGTAGTGATGTCTCCTCATCCCTTCGTCATACTGGGCGTTTGCTTTTTTTTTTTTTTAAATAAGTCTACCCACAAGTTTGTACTGATTTTCCCAGGAACTACTGTAGGCTCTGCTGAGTCGCCTCCATTCTCCACTTTCCAGCTCTCCGGTTTGTTTCCATCCTCTCCCCTCCCTTCTTTTACCCGGTTTTGTTGCGTTTCCTCCTCTTTTCCCAGCTTCTTGAGGCGGTAGCTCTGCTGCTGGATCAGAAGCCTCGACCCTCTTCTCACAGACTTCCCTCCAGGCCTGTTTCGGTGCCTCAGGCACGTGCTGTCTGCGCAGTCATCGCTCGGCTCCAATGCTCCCCAACGCTCCCCAACGCTCCGCGGCCTTTGAACGTGAGTCGTTAGAGAAGGGCGTTGACAAAGGTCTGGATCCCGGAGCGTGTCCTGGAATCTCGCCGTCAGCCCGAGCTCTAACGGACAGCCGTGGGGGACCCGGTGCCCGCAGCGCTGTGGTGTTCACCCAGTCTGCCCGGTGATGGACGCACCCTCCCGCGCTGGGTGCCTTCTCGCCCGGGAGGGCCGGGGCTGGCAGTGCGTGCATCTTTCACCTCTTGCCGATTGTTAAACATGCACGTTTCAACGCTCAGGGAGGCAGTTGCATGTCGGCCTCTGACTGGGAATGTGTCCTTCCCTCTCCTCCCGTCGATGCTGGCTTCACGCATTGTGCACCTGGATGATTACGCGCACTCACATTCAGAAAGATATTATCTCCTTAATGAGGTGAGCCCTTTATCATTATGAAACATCCCTCTGTCTCTAATAAAACCCTTTGTCTTGATGTTTACCTTCTCTGGCATTATTATAAGCAAATGAGTTTTCTCGTGAATGATGTTGGCACGGCCTTTCCAGCCTTTATTGCAGGGCCTACGTCTGTGCTGAACGCTGTGTCTGGCGTTCCTTCAGCCTCCGGTCCCGTTTCCCTGCACTCAGACTGCAAAACCCCGTCCTCCACGAGAGCGAGCTGAAGTGTGAGAAGTTTTGAGACGCTGAAAATAAACGAGAAACGACATGTCTTTCTTCCACAACAGCGGGTTTGCGTCCTGAAAAGTAAAGTTGTGAGCTATTTTCATGAAAACAATGCCAAGACCACAATTCCTTGTGATCTGCACTGTGAAGGCTGCGTCAGTACAATCCCACTGGGGAGATGGTCCCTGCAGACACTCCATGACCGAGGGGGGCAGAGGGGTCTGCTGCTTCTGTCTGATGGTGCTGGTTTAATGCAGTGACCTGCTCAGATCGTAGGTGGGATCCTCTCCCTTCTCCCCTCTCCCTTCCTTCCTCTTGCTTTGGAACGTACTTCAGTGAGCACATAGATGCCTGATGGGGGGACAAATCCTATTAAAACACCAGCTGCTTCCTCAGCAAGGTCAGAAAAGCACTTCTCTGCTGGGGGGGGGGGGGGGGGGCAGGGGTCCTGCTGCTCCACTGCCTCCTCTGGACAGTCCTAGGCCACCTCTTCCCAGAAGCCCCCCTGGCCAGGCCAGCCTTGAAGGCCCATCCACCTCCCACCACCAACCAGGAGGGGAGCATCTGACCGGCTCTAGGCCAGGAAGAAGACGGGGTGCGCTTGCCCGGCCTCCACCACAGCACATCCGCGGCCCTCAGCCAGCTGCCAGACCTGAGACACCCAGGACAGGGGCCAGCCAGGCCGGTCCACAGCCGGCGTCCCTCTGTCCCTCCCTCCCGCCTGGCCCCGTGGCCGCCAACTAGAACACAACAGGCAGCAGGAAGTGTCAGGAACCTTAGATGTCAATAACAGAAAGACAGACTCAATTAAAAACAGGCCAAGGATCTCAACAGACATGTCTTCAGAGCAGCCACACAAACAGCCCGTCGGCACCGGAAGAGACGCTCACCTTCATCCCACCAGGGAGATCAGCCACCGGAGACGCCACGGTGCACCCACGAGGCCGCCCCCGAAGGGGAAACACTGGGCCCTCACCCAGGGCGGGGGCAGGGACATAAAGGGCTGCAGCTCCTCAGACGCATCGGGCAGGTCCCCAAACAGCAAACAGTTACCCAGGGACCAGCACTCCCGCTCCGGGGCTGCCCGAGAGGGGTCGCAGCGCCAAGGCCTGCAGGGGAGCTG